CAAGCAGTCAGACAACATGCTGGGTATTTCCCGTTCAGAAATAAGTCTGACATTAACCTGACAAGGTATGGAATTTACAATTCAATTGAAACAATTGTCAATGAACCTTGTATTCTTACATGTCTCAGGAACTCTGGTCTTGTTACAGATGAGAAAATGAAGTATCTTGAGTCATGTGTGAAAACAAGGTACATTCTCAGAAGTCAATTGTCAAAAGTTGCACCGTTGGCAAATGTCAATATCCGAGTCAACATACCTACAGCTAAAGGTTCTTCACATGACGACTATGTTGTTGACAAAGACTTACCATGGTTGAAGATTGTACTTGTCCACAACCACTTCATGTTGAACGAAAGTCTTACAAACCCATTGTTCGGAAAAGGCAAGTGCAACATTGTCAAAGCTGTAAACATTCTTTTCGAGAAAGGTTTGTTGGAACCAATTCCAGATGACAAGCTGACAGAAACTTTTGTACCAAAAGACGAAACAAACTTTTCATTGTTAGTGAGACCAAAAATTGTTCCGGACAAAGTTATAGCACAAAAGAAGTACACAGTTCCAAAAGGAGTTGGATTGTTCGGATACCAACCTGAACCAGAAGAACTTCCAATGAGGTTGCAAGAACTTCAAGATGCTATAAACAAACTTCCATTGAGAAATCCAATTGACGTCAAATTGTATTGGAGAGCATCAGAGTTAGGTCAGAAGGTTTTATATGAAACAGGTTGCTTCGACGATGTTTATGAGATAACAGGCGAGGTTTCTCAGAAGATAAGAGACTCACTTGAATTTCCACGAACTGGACCCATTGGATGCGACAAGTTCGACTCATATGAAAAGATATACTATGTCGACCTTAACGCTGCGTACATGAGGTTCGTCCAATATATCCCGACTGGAATTCCAAACGAAGATGGTGAGTTCCCGGGAAGGAACTATACAGTTGGAAAAGTCATACAACAACTATATGATATTAGGAAAGATTCAAACCCCAAACTTGCAATGACACTCAAATTGCTTATGAATTCGACATGGGGATATTCCATTAAGAAACCTCAAAAGATGAAGAGTAAACACTATGAGAAGGTCGACAACTTTGTTGAAAGGTTTTCTCCTTTTGTTTTGAAGTACGAGTTCACCGAAGGTCAAAATGGCTTAGTAACCACAGTAAAACCTATTGTCGAACATTGGTCCTACCCTCAGTTCGCAAAGGCAGTCCTTGACAACTACAACAAATTCTTCTCCGAGGTTAAATCCAAAGTTGTGGTATACTATGAGAACATCGATGCACTCATGACGAACGAAGAAGGGTACAACAAACTCATTGAAATGGGAATGGTCGGTGAAAAGATGGGCCTTTTTAAGCTAGACAAGGTATTTTCCGAAGTTCATGTTCTCTCCAAGCGTAAGTACTGGGCCGTACTTGAAGACGGCACAGAAATAAAACATTGCATGAAATAAAACATTGCATGAAGTAAAACATTGCATGAAGTAAAACATTTTTTCAAAAAAATATTTTTTTATTTTATTTGAAATGTACGCTGAGTTTGTTGGAGAAGACCGTTGGGAAACTTGTTTGTTAGATGGGAAATATGAAATTCACTGTTGTGAGTCATTTGAAGTCAGAAAAAAAGAGACAAAAAGAGTTTTAAGCGAATGGGAGGGGAATAAAGGATATGCTCTTATGAAGATGGGTGGGAAACGCTATCTTAAACATATTGTCATTGCAACTCATTTTATACCGAACCCTAACAATTTACCTTTTGTAGACCATATAAACCGTATAAGAAACGACAATAGACTTGAAAACTTACGTTGGGTCACTTGTTCTGAAAACAATAAGAACAAAAGCAAAATTGGAGATATTGTATTCGAATTTGTCGACGAACTAGAAGATGAAACAATTGAAATTACAGACTATGGCGAGCATACGTTTGAGTTTTACTACTATAGCGAAGAACAAGACTCTTTCTACTTTTATACCGGCGTAAACTATAGGAAATTACAAGTATGTTTTACTAAGGAAGGCTATGCTTATGTAAACACTAGAGATACAGATGGAAAAAGCGTTCATATATTTCTTAACAAATTCAAGAAGCTATATGGCATACCATTTTAAAACGTTTTTAAAACAGTATATTTTTACATATATAAAATGCTTCAGGTTGAAAAACAAAGAACAAAAGTAGCAGATACAAAACCGTTAGACTATATCTTTACAAACGCTGGTAGGAATATTTCAGATGAAGAAATTTCATCCCGATCTTACAGGTTTGACTATCCAATTCGTTGGCTTCAAAGTCCTTCAGATGCAAAGGCAATAGGATTTAGAAGAGTTTTGTTTTCAAATAGAACTAATGCATTCATGTTCGCAGTATATTTTCACGGTCAGTATAAAGGTTCTGATGGTCTAATAGAAAAATTTGATGAAATGAAAATCTTTACAATTCGTTCAGACGAAAGTCTTGAAAAAACTCTAAATGACTTTCAAACTCAAATAAACAAATACTACTGGGAATTTCAAGAAAAATACCACTCTTTACTAAATGGAACATACTATCTAAAACTAGAATACGACAAGATGAACTCCACCGTTTCATTTCAAAAGATTGAAATTAACCCTCCAAGAGATACAGAGTTTTTATATTGGGGAGTAGACAAACGTTCTTGGGCACAATTTCTTCGGTTACTAAACCAGAACGAACCATTACCACCAGATGGTCCATTTAAATTTATACTTCCACCAGCAGATTTGACAGTTTATAGAAACGTGTTTGACCCTCAAAATGTCATGTGTCATGCAAGTTTCAGTTCAAGCAACAACAGTTTTCTATGTATCGGTAAGGACTTTTATGACTTTGCTTCTAAATTCTACGAACCACCTAGTAACAGTTTCTCTGACTTTCAAGTTTGGTTCACAACAAACGGTGTGCAGCATATAATTCCATTGTACTATGACTTTTATCTCGAATTGTCTTTCATATACAACTACGGAAAAGTGCTGAAAAAGTATTGAAAAATGAGATGTTTAGGTTAGATGGTTTTAGGTGTCACTACGTCACCAGGTCCCTCGGTCCCTCGGTCCCTCGGTCATTTTAACTTCTCTGAAAAAGTGTGACAACATGACATTTAGACAACAACACAGGAGATAGATTTCATCGTATATGTTTTGTCATGAATTTCATCGTAAATGTTTTGTCAAACATGAACGTACATGTTTTTTCACCTGTTGAATTTTGTATAAAAAGCAACCCGCTGTTTTCCGCCGGTTGGTATATTCTTCACAAAATGCTTGTTTTGAGGTCGAGCCACTTTTGGCTCGACCTGTTTTTTCAACCAAAACTCATTTTTTTCGGCAAAAATATATTTTATGTTAGCATGTTAGATCTAACACGTTTTCTAACCACTTTTCTAACATCGTAGAAAACACACAAAACTCTAGAGTTTTATACAGAATTCGGCAAAAATATATTTTATGTTAGCATGTTAGATCTAACACGTTTTCTAACCACTTTTCTAACATCGTAGAAAACACACAAAACTCTAGAGTTTTATACAGAATTCGGCAAAAATATATTTTATGTTAGCATGTTAGATCTAACACGTTTTCTAACCACTTTTCTAACATCGTAGAAAACTCTCGAAATTCATGAGTTTTGACACTTTCATAAAAAACATAAAAAATAAAGTTAGTTTTTTTTAAAAAATATTTTTTATTTTTATTGTAAGAACATGTTAGCAACAACTTCACCAAACTCGTTAGTCATGAACCCAACTTCAATGTTAGTAGAGATGAAAAGCTTCATTCCTTCTTCATATACTTTCGAAACAGAAATCCAGAAGATAAAGCAGGAACTTCTCCAAGGAGATTTAGACTGTAGTGCGAAAGATGAAACAAATGAAGAATATCTTTATGAAATGCAGGATATTATTGACCATCTACCTAAACTTCCTGAAATACAACAACAAAAGCTTACTATTCCAGAATTCGATGAAATAGAAGTCAAAGCAACTGACTCAGTAGAAACCAAGAAGTTCATACGTAAGGTAAACTATGAGTTTCTTGGATTTCATTGCAACCACAAAGTCATGGACAAAGACTGCGATATGGTATATAAAAATGTTTCTGACATATATAAATCTGAAGAATTTAAGACCTACGACAACTTTGTTTCGTTAGTTGCAAAATGTGTATGGCAGATAAGAGATAAAGATAAAAGAGGTAAGGTATGGAACGAACAGATAAAACCAGCAACTTTTGAGTTAAAGAAAACCATTGACGCCTTAGTTGTACTTGCAGGTTTTATTTCAATGTACAATGCTAAAATGAACCCACAATGTTCAAAATGTAAAGCAGCAATGAGGAAATATAACTACTCCGTCAAAGAGATAGAACGTATGCGAAACGACTATGCAGATTTAAAGAAAGAAGCAGAGAAACCAGCAGAAGATAAAATGGACATGTTGACATTTCTGAACAAAAACTATCCAACAGCTGACGATTTCCTTCTATCTGATGTCAAGAAGAAATATAAAGAAACATTCGGCATTGTTAAAACTTTTGATATCCTTCGTGAAGAAATAGAAGCTACAAAACTGTTTAAAGTCATGAACCATCGCAACATATACCATGTAAAACGCTTGTAAATAGTTATGTTAGAAAAGAGGTTAGAAAACGTGTTAGATCTAACATGCTAACATAAAATATATTTTTGCTGAGTAAAATGACCAAATTTCATTATATAACTGTTATTTTTGACGAAGAGAACTTTGACACTTCGTAAAAAAATCCCTGAAATCATATCTTTTATACAAGATAAAAAAATAGCGTTAGTTTTTATAAAATATTTTTTTTTATTTTGTATGTAAAGACAGATATGACAACAACAGAGAACACAACAACTGCTATCGTTCATGAAGCCATAAATGAAGAATATGAGTACATACAGTTTAACAAACAGTTACGTCTCATTCGTTCGGTCAAAGATGACATGTACCAAATGCAAAGTATTTTGACAGCATGTTTTGCTCCAGATACCAAGAAACCACAAGACTGGTTTGAATTAAATAGCACTCATGAACTCCTCAGTGAGTTTGAACATGTAGAACTTAAAAAGATGTACCAAGACAGACAAAACTTACCATCGCATCTAAAAGGTATATATGTTCATAAGTTCCTAGCTAGTTCAATAGCAATGTGGGCTTCACCTCGTTATGCAATCTACATACTTATGCTACTTGACGAACTTTGTACAAAGCAGAGAGAAGATATGATGAAAGAAGACAAAAACATACAGAAAAGAATACCACGTTCGGTACCAAAAGGTAAGGAAAAGAACTATAAGTATATGATTTACACTGAAGAGATGGAAAATGAAGAAGACAGAGATATGGTTATGTTGCATTTAGTCAGAAGAAACAACAAAAGCTTTTACGACCTTGCTAAGATTTACAAATCTGACAGAAATTGGTTCTATCGCAAAAACTTACCGATTTCAATGACACCAAATGAAGATGTTAAACAGATAGTTCAAGATACGTTACCTCAAACACACTATGATATGAAAGGTTGTACAATACTTACATTCAAAGAAGATTTGCCGCTACTGAAGGAAAAGATAACAGAGTATTTTGACAACTTCAAAGAGGAAGAGTAAATGAACCATATATTTTTCAAGCTTGACACCAAAGATGGCTCAGGTAGCTCTAGATGGTAAATTGTCTTGTCCGAGTCCTTCTGGCATTCCGAGTCCTTCCTTCTGGCATTCCGAGTCCTTCCATCCGACATTCCGAGTCCTTCCTTCTGGCATTCCGAGTCCTTCCATCCGACATTCCGAGTCCTTCCTTCCGACAGGAAAAGTTTTTCTTTCCGACAGGAAAAGTCCTTCCTTCCGACAGGAAAAGTTTTTCTTTCCGACAGGAAAAGTCCTTCCTTCCGACAGGAAAAGTTTTTCTTTCCGACAGGAAAAGTCCTTCCTTCCGACAGGAAAAGTTTTTCTTTCCGACAGGAAAAGTCCTTCCTTCCGACAGGAAAAGTTTTTCTTTCCGACAGGAAAAGTTTTTCTTTCCGACAGGAAAAGTTTTTCTTTCCGACAGGAAAAGTCCTTCCTTCTGACATTCCGAGTTCTTCCTTCCGACAGGACACAAACGGATGGCTGACGTTCCACCAACCGAGTCCATTCCAAAGCCAGAAGAACCGACAGCCCCAGCACCACAACAGACTAAGACTAAAACACTTACATTTTTACGCTTGACTTTTTACAATTTGAACTTTGTTTGCGTAGATATGAATTCTGAAAGAAGTATGAGGGTCTTGTATGACTTTGTACTTCTCCCATAGTTCATGTCTGTCAAACTTACCTGCCATGGACTCTTTCATAAGTTCCATGAAATCGTCTTCGGACAATCCGGGGAAAAGTACAATGTCAGTAAGTATTCTCTTTACATCCTTACTTAAACTCTTGGCTGTCTGTACACAAATGACAACTGAAATGTTAAAGTGTCTGAGCTTCTTGAGAATTCGACACATGTCTTGTTCTCTGTTCTTTAACAAAGGATGAGAAGCAAAGTCATCTAAGATAAGAAGACATCTGTGAGGGTAAGTCTTCCAATCGTAAGATTGCAATTTCTTCGAAATGTATTCTATCTCTTTCTGTTTGTTTCTGAAGTGTTTCTTCTCTAATATTCTCTGCATTTCCTCATTTGGGTCTTTAAACTTAGAGTTTATATACTCATTTATAGCATTGTACTTCAAAACTCTTCTTTGGTACTTCTTTATCCAATCTAACAACTCAGAGTCTTTTATACATACTAACTTAGACTTTTTTATAATATCTTTGAACGAATTTACGGTTTGGTCAAATTGACCAGAAGTACTACAAATGACTACTAACTCATAGAATGGGTTCTTCTCATCTAGTTCTTGTTGTTGTGCAGCCATTTTAAGATAAGTGAAAGTCTTACCCGACCCAGGCGGTGCAATTAGACCTGTTATACCATTCTGAGCAAATAAGAACTTGTCATGTATGGGTTTTATCTGAGCATTTTCCAACTTCCTCTTGTTCTTGTTTAAAACATTCTCAAATTTCTTGTCAATGTCAGCAAACTTTTTTTCTAACATATTTTTAGAAAAATTAAAATTTTTATCTTTTAGGAAATGTCTAGCGATTTCGCTATCTATATTCGAGACAAGCTTTTCGACAGCAAAACATCTGTCGACCATAAAATCTTACATAGTGTAAACAAGAAAGGGGAATTTGTTCTAAAGTTCTGTTTCTGGGAATATGACAAGAACCATAAAACATTAAGCAGAGAAGTCTTAAAATTTGTCAATGACAGACTTGTTGACAGAGATGACGCCTCTTGGAGAGATGAAGTCCAACAAAACTTCTTAGAATGCAAAGAAGACACATGCGCTGTTCTTGAAAATGAAATAGAAAACAGAATAGAAGAGCTATTAAATGACAAAGCACTTTTACAAAAATATGGTTCTGAGAAGTTTGACATAACTCCACCAGAGAAGAAGAGAGAAAAGAAAGAAAAGAAAGTAGAAGAAGAGAAGAAAGAACCAGAGCCAGTTCCAGAGAAAAAGAAATTTGACATGTAAAAATAAAATTTTATTTTTAGAACATTTCTGGGTCAATGTCAATGTTCTCTTCCTCTTTAGGAGCAAACACTGGCTTAGACTCTAAAATCTTTTTACCCAATTTACCTTGAACTTCTACAACTTTAGACTCATAATATTCATAGTCGTCTGCTTTCTTTGGTTCATAAGGTATAACAAGTTTGTATGCTTTGCCTTCTTTAAGGTTTGAAAACCTTCTGTCAAAACTTTCTTTGACTGTTAACAAACCTTCTATGTCTAAGTCTTCAAATTTCGCACCATTTTTAGTCACAATAGCAAACTTAACTGGTTCGATGTTCCAAACTTTGTCAAATGTAGACTTTTCAAAATGGTAGAAGTAAACATTCAAATATGTGAATGGGTCTAGTTCTTCTTTAAGTCCTGACATGTACTTGTTGACTGAGATGAATTTTGTCATCTTTTCTATCGGATAAAAAAAATATTTTTTTTAAAATTTACTCAGAAAAATTTTTCTTTGTATATACACCATTCTGTACGTCTAAAAGACTTTTGACATTTGCCAAGAATGTTCGTTTAGACGCTGTCATATAACCATACTCTTGACAATACTGTTTATACGAATCGTACAATGACCTTTCATCTAAACACTCAAAGTCAGTTTCATCTATGAACAGTTCATATACACTCTTGTTTGCTTCTAACAATGTTTGTCTCTCTTCGGTATGTGGAATTTGTCTTGGATTGAACTTAGAAATATCTAATGTCATGAAATATGAGAACAAGTGGTTGTAAAAGTTAGGTGTCAAAGTTTCTGCTAAGTCGTCAAAATATTCTGTATCTTGCATATGAGCTTCTGACGTTCTGACAACTACATATCTTCTGTCAGAACTTTCTAACTTCATCGGAACGGCGTTGTTTGAAACCATGACGAAGTTTGCAACATTTTCACAAACTCTTTGGTCTTTATATTTTCTTTCAACAACTCCAACTTTGTCTGTTATAAGACTCTTCAAAGCATCTGAGTTCAAAACTTTTGTTGTATCTATACTTTGAAGTTCGTTACATACTATAAGTTTCATATTCTCTATTGAAGAGTTAAATTTACCGCAGATGTTTTCTAAGTTTGTCATATTAGGGTTCGAATAGCCCTCTAACAGTTTGCATAAGATATCTGTAAAGAAAGTGTTCTTACCAGTTCCTTGTTTTCCAATTATGATGAGAGCAGTTTCATTTTTAGCACTTGGATGTTGTAAGATGTTTGCAAACCAACATAAGATATACTCATAGACTCTTTCGTTTCCATTGCATATAATTTCTTTGACATGGTCTAACCAAGCTTCTATAACATTTTCTTTCCATTCTACTTGTTCATATTTATATCCAGTGAAGATAGAATAGAAGTTTGGAGATGGTGTATAAAACTTTATACCACGAACTGAAAAATCTTCTAACTTTGACAATAAGATATCCCAAGCATCTAACATCTTCATACCAACTTGTACGACTTTTATTTTCTTAAGTTTCTGTTTACATTCTTGTTCTGAAACTATTGTCGCTCTTGGTTTGTTAAAGACTACATCCCATTCTTTCATGACATAACATTCTGGGGCAGAGTCGACATAAATGACTAAACGTTTCAAATTCTCGACTGCTTTGTTATAGTCTCTAAATGGACACATATTTCTGAAGGCTTGGAAGTCATAAAAATCTGAAACGTCTATTCTGTACATTTTTTATAAAAATAAAAAAAAATATTTTTTTATTCTTGAGCTATTTGTTGTTGCATTTGTTCCATTTGTTGCATTTGTTGTTCTTGAGCTATTTGTTGTTGAAGTTGTTCTTGTAGTACAATACTTTCACCAGTTGCATCTTCCAATTCGAAACTTTCTGCCGTCATTGACAAATACATAGGACATAAAAGTTTTACAGGAACAAAGTTTGCGTCAACTAAGGTTAAGTTTATGTTTGCTAAAGTGTTTGAGTTTACTAAAGCTGAAAACTCTGCATTCGAATGAACAATAGGCAAACCAGCAGAGAAAGTGTTGTTTATACGCATGAGTATCTTTTGGTCATAGTAGTTTCTGTCAACATTCGAATAGCACTTTGAACCTAAGTTTGAAACAATATATAAAATAGGTGTACTTAAAGTCAATGGAACAGATAGACCTTGTATGACACCTTTTCCTGTTATAGGAAACCGTTGGTAGTAAAAACCAGATATAAGTTTTGTATTATAGCTCATATCGTTTATACTAAACTCAGTCGGACATCCAAACATAATGAAACCTGCTCTAGTTGCAGCACATGTTACATCCGTCCTTAAAGTATTAAATAAGTCAACAAAACCTGTTGGTGGTATATCTGAGTAAGTATCTTCAAAGGAGTATTTTTTACCATTCACAACAACAAAGTCTTCTGGTGTCAAAAGAGCAAAACAGGCTTTAGTCGTCATCGTGTTTAAGGTCAGTTTACAATATCGTCCTTGAGGACTTTGTAAGTTTGTTGTTATAGAATTATATGACTCAGGGTTTTTAGTCGTAATAGTATAAACCACTATGTCTTCTGCCATTTACATATATTTAAAAGTTTTTCTGAAAGTGGAGAAGAACTTCATCTAAACTTTCACATGGCGTTTCTTGAAGTTCTCTGTCTAAGAAGTTCAAATATTTTGTAAAGACATAGAACTTTCCTTTGTCTACACGAACAAACAAAACAGGGTCTTTCATATCGTTCAAAAGTGTGTAAAGTCCTTTACATGAAATAAAGTCTATATTGTTTTTCTTCAAACATCTTTCAAGAAGTTTTGACATTTTTACTTAGCAAACAAACTTTAATGAAATGTTGTGGTCGTCAAATATTTTTATGACGTCTGGGAAACTATATTTTAAGTTCAACGTTTCACCTCCTTTCATAACGTATATCTTGTCAATGACATTATATGAAACACCACAGCAAGCAATGTCGGGTTCTATTTCTTTGATGTTTATATCGTCTGCCTCTGTCAAAAGTTTCAATAGTTCTTTCAAAACTTCATGAGGTGCGATGACATATGAGTTCACTTTTACAGGGTTGTGTTCGACCAAGTTTAACATTATACTTAAAGCTTGACAAATCTTCTCCTGAGTTTGAAGTTTGTCTTTCAGTTGTTGGTAGTCGTTTCGAATATCTGCAACAGAACTTAAGTCTCTGCTAACTTCAGGATATGTTGGTTGTTCTTTTACAGGAACTATTGTTATACCATCTTCGTCTTCGTATGGTTTCCCCACTTCAACATCTCTGTCTTTGACATTGACAACAACACTTTGACTGTTTGTTTGAGTTGGTGAATTTAACTTCACGTCTGCCATCGCCATTAAACCTTTTGAAACACTTACGCTTCTATTTTTCGGAAATGACATTTTACTTAGAATAAAAAGATGGACGTATTTGAGTATCTCTTCGAATTGAAGCAGAACAAAGTTTACACACACAAACAATACAAGTTCATTGACAGAGTAGTTCTTTACACAAACAATGGAAAATGTTATAGAATAGCAGTCTTTGCTGAACCAAAATATTTTCATAAAGCAAAGAAAGTTGGTATAACTGAAATGGTGAAAGTTCTTGACGTTGACAAAAATATAACAACAAAACTGACCGATATTTCTAAAGGAAAGTTTTTAATACAATATTATATCAAAACTGGCGTACTGTCAATATTTGACGGAGAGAAGTCAGTTCAAGAACAACTTACTGACCTGCTGCCAAAATCTGCTCGATGGAAGCTGTCGTTATACCAATCTGAGGAGCCCCAGCAGGTTTCATCGAACGAATTTTCAAAAGAGCATCTTCCGTGAAAAGTGCTATTGGTTTTGTAAACTTCTTTGCTTTCAATTCATCTGGACCGTCTCTGTCACCAGTATATTGTATTTGTACAGTACCAACAGTTGAAATACCACCCATAAAGTCTTCTGAGTCAGCAAATGGAATGCCAAGCCAAAAGTTTGAACGGTCTCCATTTGTATATTGAGTTTTTTGACCTCCTGCATGAGTCCATACTTTCACATATGGCATAATAGAGCTTTGCATTTCAGGGTTAATGGTTGTTGTGAAGTTGTTGTTAAAGTTCATAGCATCTAATGTCAAGTTGTATGACCTCATATCCTCAACTGTAGAATATTCTTCTCTTGGATAATATTTGCCATCTATGTTTATATGATATTTAATACCAGGGTTGTAGAAACAAGAATAGTCATTTATAGTTCGTCTGAACAGTACAAACATAGTATCTGCATGTTTCATTGCAGTTGTTAAGGCAATATCTGTTCTTGCACCTGGGTCAGCACTTTGGTTTCCAACTTCACCTGCAAAGTCTTTGACAGATATTTGGTGTATAGGGAACATAAGTGGAACTGCAATATATTTGGCAGCTAAAGCATTTGAAATATCTGGGTCCAACATATAGACTGCAAGTCTGCTTTCTATTCTCTTGCATTCAAACTTTTCGCATGTGAACTTAACTGGGTCCCAAGCAGTTCCAGCAGCATTGAAATAATAGTTTACTTCAGTGTTGAGGTTTGAGAAACCAAAGTCTAGTCAACTTTGTCTTTGCAAAAGTCACAGAACTTGGCTCCACCAGTTCCAGCTACAGTAAGAGTGAATGGGTCTTGTGTTGGTGCAATGACTAAGTTATTTTTGCTTGGAGTAAGTTCGATAGAAATTTTTCCTGCCCAGTTTGGCAAGTATCTTAAAAACCTGAAGATGAGGAAAGATGACAAAGGAACTCTAAGTTTCAATTTTACTTTGGTTACTGCTGCTGCAGTTTGTCCAGAAAGGTTAACATAAACTCCTGGAACGTTAGGGTCAAGTCTTCTTATTTTCTCAATAGTTGCATACTGGTCTGTTTGTTCTCTAGCTTGTGGTTGTACTGAGTTTCTCAAAGCGAACCATTCATAGTTTGCCCATGTTACTGTTTGAACTAAGTCAGAGTTAGAATATATCTTATATCCCATGAAAACTTCTGGAGCATATTGGTATCCGACATAGAAAATTCCATTGCAACCTTTCTTGTCAGACAACTTGGCAGAAGGTTTATTTCAATGTCTTGTTCCACGTATAAGAATGAGTTGTCAATAGAAATAATATGAAACCTGTCGCAAGCAATATCTACTGTTGTTGAAGAACCTTCTCCAAACTCACCTACGTTTCCATAAGAAACAGCAGTTGTATATTCGTAAGTTCCAGGAACTATTTCTGACCTTCTAATGGCATTGTCGCATTCGTTATACCATTCGGAAACATTTCCATTCATGGCATCCAAAACTGTTGGCGTTATATTCTGAGCGGCGTACATTTCATATGGGTAAAAATATAGAATAGTTGGATTTATGTGTCATAATAGAACCCACGTGGACCAAGCTTTACTTTCTTCCTGACTGAGTTCTAACTCTTCTTTTTCCTTCATTGCCACTACTTTCACTAGATGAAGTTACTTCTTCACTACTTTCACTTTGTTCTACTCTTCTTCTTTGGTGTCGCTTTGGTAACTTGCCCTCTGCTTCAAGTTGTTGCATCTTTGCCTCATGTTCATCTAGTATGTTGTAAATTTCCCATGTCCTTTTTGCCTTTGGGCTCTGGTCGCCCATCTCAGGTAACCTATATCCTAGAAAGAGTTTGTCATAGTTTGTATTTGAGTCTTCGCGTATTGTTTGCATGACTCTTTCCTGAGTTTCCGGTTCAAGCTCTTCAAACAGAGCTTGTCCATATGGAATAAGCTTGTTTCCAAATATATGTTTTTGTAGCCATTCTGGTTTTCTTTCCATGTTACCAACAATATCTTTTGTGAATGGGAAAGCTTTTACCCAACGTTTCAGTCTTGCGTCATTTATTTCTGTAGTTGGTTTTATTTTGTCAAGGAACATGTTTTTCAATACTAACATTTCATTTGGTACTGTCCATTTGAGTTTTCTTAAATATTCATCCCTTCTCAGTTCATTGTCTGCAAAGTAAGTTTTTATGACATTTTGTAAACTTTCGTTTGCAAGGTCATGTACAATAGGTTCTCTTCCTTCTCCCTCCCTAACTTTCTTTCTAAACTCTTCACCAAATATACCATCTCTATGGTTCTGTGTAGTTCTTTGAGATAAATGTTCTAGAACGTCAGGTGTTATATTTCCATCAGCCATGTTCATTTCATACTGGTCCAAAATATCTGCATGTTTCATATCTTTCAATGGCATTAAAGCCGCGCTTAAAATACCAGCTATATCTCGTTCACCATTGACTTCCATTGCGTCTACAACTTCTTGGAATTGTGGTTGTAAGTTTATGAACCACCTATCCGGGTTAGCTTTATGACCCCATCTCATTGTAGTTCCATCGTCTGCAGAAACAAAAGTAGGTTTGTTTCCATCTTGGCTAGGTTCTGAATGAACTTTAAACAATGTTTCATTTCTATATGTTTTCTTGAAATTTAACCTTTTATCTTCACCGAGTTCATCCAAAGATTGAACGTTAAATGCTCGTAAGTAAAAAGGGTTGTTGTATTTGTGTACATTTTCTTTCAGTACTTCCATTCTATGCTGAATATTTTCATCTGATGTTGGAGTCTTTTGTATGTCGGTGAACATTTTTCGATATTCTTCTACTATGTCAGCCGAATTTTTTTTAGATTCTTGGAAATATTCCATATTCTCCGCATACTCTTGTTGAGGGTCAAGATTTTTCGGCTGTTCAAAATCTTCATCTAGTTCTGTGAAGTTAGTTTCCAAAGGAAGGACTTGTTCGTTTCCTTCAGGCTCTTCTAGCTGTTGTTGCTGAACTATTTCTTCCATGTCTGGTTGTATCTGAACTTCTTCCTGTGGAGTTTCTTGTACCTCATCTGCTGGCATTTCATATATTCCGATACCGTTTTCAACAAGTTCCCTATTTAAGTCATTCGCATTCATAAGCCTTTGTTCTTTCGTTCCGTCTCTATTTTTTACGCGTTTCATGAAGATAGTTGAATTGTCATTTAGCTCTGACACCAAATATCTCGGAGTAAATTCGTTCATGTCATTTGGATGATATGCTATTAAATCATATCCCTTAGCGAGCTTGTATTTTCCAGGTTTGAAATTATATCCGATTTGGTGTTGAGCCATAAAGCTAAATAGGTTCGGGTCAGTATTTCCTTCATTGAACTTTCGAATAGCTTCTTTATATCTGTCACTAAAGTCAATAGTATCTGGGTAACCATAGTCTTCTTTAAGCATTTTTAAGAATTCTTGGTTTCCTTGTTCTCTACTTCTTTTATGTCCTTGCTCTGTTTGTGGTTGTTGTGCTGGTTGTGGAGGTGGTTGTTGTGCAGGGTTTTGAACTGTTGGTTGTTGTGCTGGTTGTGGAGGTGGTTGTTGTGCAGGGTTTTGAACTGTTGGTTGCTGTGCTGGTTGTTGTTGTTGTTGTTGTGTTGGTTTTGGTGCATGCCTGTGTCTGTGTCCATGTGACGATGTAAATGTGTTAGGTAGTCCTGGTGCAGGTGCTTCTCTTGGAGGGTTTGGTGGTATATAAGTTCCATTAGCTAGTATATAAGTTCCACCAGCTGGTATATAAGTTCCACCAGCTGGCACATATGTTCCATCTGCAGCGTAATGTCCTACCTGACTTTTCGTTTTTAAGAAAGCATTTACTAGGTCTGTTTTGGTCTGTTGTAACTCTTTTTATTGACTTTTCACAACAGTTGCTCTAACGGCGTCATAGGCACTTTGAACTGCCTGTCTCGTTGCTGCATCTGTTATTTTCGTCATATTTTGTGCTACTTCTTTTAACTCTTTGTCGAAACCTTCAGACTTCAGTTTCTTTCCAGATGAGAAATCGTTCACTTGTTTCACCTTACTATGAAGAGCTTCGAAGGCGTTCTTAAAGTCAGCATTCGTTAAAGCTTCATTTGAACTGTCTTCATCCGCTTGTATTTTTGTCCTTATTGACCCTATAAGCTGGGCTGCTTTAGCGTTGGCTTGGGCATCTAACCAGTCATTGTTAGCTTTTATATATTCTGCGCTTTTCATTGCCTTTTGCATGGCTGCGTCGTTATTTTTACTTTCTTGTGCTAAGTTTTCATACTGTACGGTTTGGTTTTGCAACTGTAAAAGTTTTTCTGCCTTTACATTTGCTTCAACTTCCTTTTTATACTCATCGCTATCCATATATGTCTTCAGGGCTTTTTGTTTTATCTCTTCATCTTTCAGTACTTTATATTGAGTAGTATGGTTTTTCAAATTTATGACATCTTGTTCCATTTTTGCTACTTCTGCTGCTTTTTCTGACACTTTTTTCGCATATTCCTCTGTACTTAGTTCTTTCAGTTGTTCTTCTTTCTTCTTTTTCTCTACGTTTAACTCATTGAGTTTCTTTGTGTGTCTGTCATATTCTAGTTTCTTTTCGTTTTCACTTATTTGCTTCTGTATGTCTATGTTTGACTTTTTGACATCTGCTATTTGATTTTTGAGTGAACTCAAATTCATTTGACTTTGAGGGTTATATGCTGTTCCACCATAGCCTGCCATTTTCGCTAAAAGTGCCGCTCTTAAACCTCCACTCTGTGCACCAACAACTCGGTTTAAAAGCATAGGATTGCTTGACATTTGTTGCAACATAGTGGGGTCATTCAGCATTTGTTGTTGCAACTGTTGTTGTGGTGTCAGTTTTACTATTGGATGTTTCAATGCTCTCTTCCTCTTACGTATATTCTTACGTAGCTTACGTGGCATTTTAAGTGAAGTTAAAAAGCGGTTTTTGACAGATGTTTATATGACACTTTTTGTTCAGCACAAAAAACTACTCGGTCAAAGTGTTGTCAGTTTTGTAAAATAACCGTCCTATCTCATTCTATAAGGGGGAAAGTCTTCTCAAAGTATACTTCCTTGGAACGCCCGTAACTTTTCCTGTAGCGACGATAGACTCTTACTTGTCCGGACAAAGCTGTACTATTTTGAGTGCTCTACAAAAAAGTCAATGGCGACGACTCTCAAAAACCGTTGTGTAAAAAGTTTTACCGTTGGACAAAAAAGTATATATAGAAAACAAAAAACGTTTATAGTTCATTCAATATTTGAGATGGAACGGTTTGCCAACGGTAACTATTAAATAAAATAAAAAAATAGAGGGGGTTACCGTTGACGAAAACGGTTTATTTTAAACTTTTCTATGAGTAGTCCGAAAAAAACAGTTCATTTTTGTCTAATGGAAGCCAACATTAACAATTCTCAACCGCTAACCAAAGCCAAAGCCCCACAACCTCCAAGAACTGGCACAGCTGTTAGAATAACCACCAAAAAGTCTAACAGCGAATTAAGAGAAATTCTTCAACAAATTTGCTCTAAATATCTCAAAGACGCCGAAGAAAACACACAACCAGACGCTATATACAATACTCAGTTCTGTGAAGTTCTGAACAAAGCAATTGCTAGTTCAATTGAACTTACTAAGACAATTCCAAGTCCAATTGAGCTTAGCGATGTCTTAGTTCAGTATTTTCCAACATTTACTAAGCTTATAATGTTGAGAACTTATACCAAGTTCGTCAAAATCTTCCTCGTTACATGCAACGGTCATTCGACAAGAGAATTGCCGAATTCCAAGTCTTTAGTTACGGATATGACCAAGATGAATACATTGACGAGTTCGGAGACAACTGTACAAAATGGTTTGAATGCTATACGACAACACAATTTGAATTCGACTTTCTCGAATTCAACGCAGCAACCATTCATATCATTGCTCTTTACCTTTCCGAACAACAACAAGACCTCGCAGATGGAGATGTTGTTACTGTCGTCATGGAAACTCCTGAACACTTCGGAAAAAAGAAGTCTCTAATTGCCAAATTTGTTCCAGGACATCAGCTTTTCCAACGCACAGAAGTCTTCTGTATTCCTGGAACTAAGTTCTTTGTCAGGAGCGAACTCAAAGAAAGATATAATGTGTCATTCAATTACACATTATATAATGTTTTCGACCCAGAAGAAGGCTTCTTCCCAGAAGCAATGGAGGAAGAAGAAGAGGAGGAAATACAAGACTCTATCCAAGAAGAGTCCTCCGAATTCACACCAGAAGACTAACAATTTTCCGAATAAAAACTTCATTTTATACTAAACATCTTCGGGGCTAGAAGGGGCGCAGCCCCTGGAAGCCCCACTTTTTTTTTACTCTCCTTTATATTTCATGAGATTTTAAATTTATTCTCATAAAATTGACAATTTTATACGTTGAGATGAAAATAATTGATTTTGCTTGAAATAAAAATTATTGTTTGCATACAGCTATCAAATAGATTTTTGCTATTTTGATTAAAATTTGTTAATCAAATTAATAAATTTTTTGTAAATATCTTAAATATCTGGATCACTCACTGATACTGTTATAGACCGAAAATAGATTTTTTCGGTTTTCTCTTCAAATAATTGAAAGAATGATACTATTATAGGTTTATTATATTATATAGCATATAATCATGCTATAGCCGAAAATTATAAGTTTTGAGAAGATTGAATATAACACAAATAAATTTGAATGTAAGTTAAATTGCTTGTTGTTTTTAATAGTTATTCAATGAGAAATCCACTTTTGCAAAATTCAAATTGAATGATTGAAAGAACAGAAAAAGTCATTCTTTTCAATTTCGAATATGTTTCATTGTATTTATAATTATATGGCAAATAAGATATTTAAACTTGATTTTTGAAGGAAAATTCACAAAATTGAATAAATTCAAATAATTTTTATTCAAAAATAAACTAGTTATTTGAGTTTAATACTAATTATCTATTCAAACTACAAAGTTTGTAATTTAAAATATTTTGTGAGATCAGATTGAATTAATTCAAGGTTCTTTTCAATTAATATTAATGACCATATTACGCATTTTCGAACATTCTAAACCAAATATATAAAAATGGGAGACGAATGTTAAATTTGCTAGACATGGGGGAGTTGTCTGCAAAGTTTTAGCTCTTATCTCTAACAAAAAATTAATTTTTTAAAAAAAGACCGAATACGTTTCACAGCGAGAAAAAAATAAAAGGCAAGATAGAATTTTCTAGACATAAAGAAGTTGTTTACCGAGTTTTAGCTCTTATCTCTAACAAAAAATTAATTTTTAAAAAAAAGACCAAATACGTTTCACAGCGAGAAAAAAATAAAACTGTACACTGATTTTCATTTTCATTTCCAGTCACTTTACTTATTATTTTTTCTTTTTTTTCATTTTAATTATAAATTATTTCATAATACGTTTATTTACGTTACCATTTTCTTTATTCTTTTGAATTCCATACTAGACACTTATAGAATATTTTGATTGTTAACGTACTTCATTAGAATGAATCCTTACAAAGGGTATGTCGATCGAATTTACCTAATTGGTATTTCCAATCAGATTGAAGAAGGTAAAATGACATGGGAAGAAGCTTGCACCCATGTTCCCATCGCCCCAACCCTTCAATCAAATGATTTCAAATATTTAGATGTTTCAAAATCTTTTTTACAAAATCAATTTAGCTTACAGAATATCCCATTGCCTAAAGGCAAGAAAGGTCGTAGGGTCAATCCCTACGACCAAATCAAAGCTCTTGCTGTGATACATGACCACCGGGCCTTTCCCTGTGGTCAAACAAAACAATGGAAACGTTTGAAATTACAACAAATTGATGTATCTTATAGAGAAGTACGCAGATACTTCAAAGAAAATCATTTCACCAAGACGCGATTAGAGCATGCCGGGCCAGAAACAGCAGTAAGATATTGGGCGCTTTCACCCAATCTTATCTGGCACGCAGATGTTCATTATTTTAGGGGTGTTCGTGGCCAGTATATTTATGGCATAATCGACGATTTTAGCCGCAAAGTCCTAGCGTGTATACAAATACCAGATATGCTGGCAGCGACGACAGCGAACGTTGCGGCTTCCGCCTTCATTGAATTTGGCGCCCCTTATTGTTTCTGGACCGACAACTGTTCAGAAAATAGGGGCGCCTTTCAAGATCTACTTGATCTTTGGGGCGTCCAATGGCGGCATACAGACTCTCATTCTCCCTACCAAAATGGGAAGATTGAGAGATTCTGGCCGCCATTGGAGCGCTGCCAAAGCATTCAGGCTATTCCTGCCTTTATTTGGGAGTACAATAATAACACACCGCATGAAGATCTCCCAATTAATCCATTAACTGGAACAAATTACACGCCAAATCAAATGTATCAGCTGAAACCGAAATACACAAATGCAGATACAGAAAGGTTGTGGCAAATATGGGATACAGATACAGGCATGACCGCTGTTGACACATTCACAGCGTAATAATAAACATAATTTTTTAATTTCATTTTTAACAAGTTTTTTTAAATGTATGTAATGAATAATTCATTAGAATATGATAATGCACATTGTAACAGAATAGAACAATCACCAAATTTTTTTTGAAATTAAAAAATAAAAGTAAAAAGTATAAAGTAATCTAACCAAAAAAGATATTTAAAAGAATTTTGGAAAAAACAGAATAAGGATAATAATATTATTTTAGATACACAATCGATGTACTGAAGAATAATCCGGTAAAATGATGATATAAAATTAGATTATTTTACAAGTAGCTAAAAGAATAAAACTATAATATAAAATAAATGAAGTTTAATGAAACAATAAAGGTTAAATAAATAATAAAGATTTTTATTTTATATCAGTATTGAGAAGAAGTAACAGCTGACACTTGGTAGAAAACTTCTTTATGTCTAGAAAATTCTATCTTGCCTTTTATTTTTTTCTCGCTGTGAAACGTATTCGGTCTTTTTTTTAAAAATTAATTTTTTGTTAGAGATAAGAGCTAAAACTCGGTAAACAACTTCTTTATGTCTAGAAAATTCTATCTTGCCTTTTATTTTTTTCTCGCTGTGAAACGTATTCGGTCTTTTTTTAAAAAATTAATTTTTTGTTAGAGATAAGAGCTAAAACTCGGTAAACAACTTCTTTATGTCTAGAAAATTCTATCTTGCCTTTTTTTTTTTCTCGCTGTGAAACGTATTCGGTCTTTTTTTTAAAAATTAATTTTTTGTTAGAGATAAGAGCTAAAACTCGGTAAACAACTTCTTTATGTCTAGAAAATTCTATCTTGCCTTTTATTTTTTTCTCGCTGTGAAACGTATTCGGTCTTTTTTTAAAAAATTAATTTTTTGTTAGAGATAAGAGCTAAAACTTTGCAGACAACTCCCCCATGTCTAGCAAATTTAACATTCGTCTCCCATTTTTATATATTTGGTTTAGAATGTTCGAAAATGCGTAATATGGTCATTAATATTAATTGAAAAGAACCTTGAATTAATTCAATCTGATCTCACAAAATATTTTAAATTACAAACTTTGTAGTTTGAATAGATAATTAGTATTAAACTCAAATAACTAGTTTATTTTTGAATAAAAATTATTTGAATTTATTCAATTTTGTGAATTTTCCTTCAAAAATCAAGTTTAAATATCTTATTTGCCATATAATTATAAATACAATGAAACATATTCGAAATTGAAAAGAATGACTTTTTCTGTTCTTTCAATCATTCAATTTGAATTTTGCAAAAGTGGATTTCTCATTGAATAACTATTAAAAACAACAAGCAATTTAACTTACATTCAAATTTATTTGTGTTATATTCAATCTTCTCAAAACTTATAATTTTCGGCTATAGCATGATTATATGCTATATAATATAATAAACCTATAATAGTATCATTCTTTCAATTATTTGAAGAGAAAACCGAAAAAATCTATTTTCGGTCTATAACAATCACTAAAAAAAAAAGGTATTGGGGGTTCCAGGGCTGCGCCCCTCTACCCCCTTGAAGATGTTTAGTATGCAATGAAGTATAAAATGAGGTTTTTTTGGGTGTAGCGGGCTTCCCAGGCACTTCGTGCCTTCTAGCCCTAAAAATTTTTGAAAGTCGTTGCTGTTGACTTTTCGGTAGAGGACTCAAAATAGTAGAACTATGTCCGGACAAGTAAGGGTCTATCGTCGCTACGTCACCAGGTCCCTCGGTCCCTCGGTCCCTCGGTTAAACGAACTTCTCTGAAAAAATGAGACAACATGACATTTTGACAACAGTCCAGGAAGTCTTAACAAGATAGGATGGTTATTTTACAAAACCGACAAGTAAGGGACTATCGTCGCTTCTCAAAGTTACGGGCGTTCAAAGAAATATACTTTGAGAGACTCTTTAGAAACTTTAGACGTTTTACATAACCATCCATGCTTTTACTTTACATCCGATAAAAGTGGTTTGGAAACCGTTATGAGATGGTTAGAGGACAAAGTCTTTACGATGACAAAGTCTTTACAAAACATTTACAAGAAAGTTCATGACAAAGTCTTTACAAAACATTGACGAAGAAGTCTTTACAAAACATTTACAAGAAAGTTCATGACAAAGTCTTTACAAAACATTGACGAAGAAGTCTTTACAAAACATTGACGAAGAAGTCTTTACAAAACATTTACAAGAAAGTTCATGACAAAGTCTTTACAAAACATTGACGAAGAAGTCTTTACAAAACATTTACAAGAAAGTTCATGACAAAGTCTTTACAAAACATTTACAAGAAAGTTCATGACAAAGTCTTTACAAAACATTTACAAGAAAGTTCATGACAAAGTCTTTACAAAACATTTACAAGAAAGTTCATGACAAAGTCTTTACGATGAGTTTAGATACGATAAGATAGAATATGAGAGAGGTCCTATAAACCGGAAAAAGTGTCATATAAACATCTGTCAAAAGCCGCTTTTTAACTTCACTTAAATGCCACGTAAGCTACGTAAGAATATACGTAAGAGGAAGAGAGCATTGAAACATCCAATAGTAAGACTAACACCACAACAACAGTTGCAACAACAAATGCTGAATGACCCCACTATGTTGCAACAAATGTCAAGCAATCCTATGCTTTTAAACCGAGTTGTTGGTGCACAGAGTGGAGGTTTAAGAGCGGCACTTTTAGCGAAAATGGCAGGCTATGGTGGAACAGCATATAACCCTCAAAGTCAAATGAATTTGAGTTCACTCAAAAATCAAATAGCAGATGTCAAAAAGTCAAACATAGACATACAGAAGCAAATATGTGAAAACGACAAGAAACTAGAATACGACAGACACACAAAGAAACTCAATGAGTTAAACGTAGAGAAAAAGAAGAAAGAAGAACAACTGAAAGAACTAAGTACAGAGGAATATGCGAAAAAAGTGTCAGAAAAAGCAGCAGAAGTAGCAAAAATGGAACAAGATGTCATAAATTTGAAAAACCATACTACTCGATATAAAGTACTGAAAGATGAAGAAATAAAACAAAAAGCCCTGAAGACATATATGGATAGCGATGAGTATAAAAAAGAAGTTGAAGCAAATGTAAAGGCAGAAAAACTTTTACAGTTGCAAAACCAAACCGTACAGTATGAAAACTTAGCACAAGAAAGTAAAAATAACGACGCGGCTATGCAAAAGGTAATGAAAAGCGTAAAAAATAGAGACGGAACGAAAGAAGAAAGGTTTATGAGTCCGGATGACTTAGATAGGGAACTTGTTGAAAACGGTATCGGAATATATGAAATGCCAGCAGATGAGGTACAAGAAACTCCACAGGAAGAAGTTCAGATACAACCAGACATGGAAGAAATAGTTCAGCAACAACAACTTGAAGCAGAGGGCAAGTTACCAAAAGCGACACCAAAGAAGAAGAAAAGAGTAGAACAAAGTGAAAGTAGTGAAGAAGTCTCAACAAAGTCTTTACAAAACATAGACAAGAAAGTTCATGACAAAGTCTTTTACAAAACATAGACAAGAAAGTTCATGACAAAGTCTTTACAAAGAAGTCTCAACAAAGTCTTTACAAAGAAGTCTCAACAAAGTCTTTACAAAACATTGACAAGAAAGTTCATGACAAAGTCTTTACAAAACATTGACAAGAAAGTTCATGACAAAGTCTTTACAAAACATTGACAAGAAAGTTCATGACAAAGTCTTTACAAAACATTTACAAGAAAGTTCATGACAAAGTCTTTACAAAACATTGACAAGAAAGTTCATGACAAAGTCTTTACAAAGAAGTCTCAACAAAGTCTTTACAAAACATAGACAAGAAAGTTCATGACAAAGTCTTTACGATGAAGAACTTTACAAAACATTGACAAGAAAGTTCATGACAAAGTCTTTACAAAACATAGACAAGAAAGTTCATGACAAAGTCTTTACAAAACATTTACAAGAAAGTTCATGACAAAGTCTTTACAAAACATAGACAAGAAAGTTCATGACAAAGTCTTTACAAAACATAGACAAGAAAGTTCATGAGAAAGTCTTTACGATGAAGAACTTTACAAAACATAGACGATGAAGTTCATGACAAAGTCTTTACGATGAAGAACTTTACAAAACATTGACAAGAAAGTTCATGAGAAATTAGATGAAGAAGAACTTGACAACTATTCTATATTTTTACCCATATGAAATGTACGCCGCTCAGAATATAACGCCAACAGTTTTGGATGCTATGAATGGAAATGTTTCCGAATGGTATAACGAATGCGACAATGCCATTAGAAGGTCAGAAATAGTTCCTGGAACTTACGAATATACAACTGCTGTTTCTTATGGAAACGTAGGTGAGTTTGGAGAAGGTTCTTCAACAACAGTAGATATTGCTTGCGACAGGTTTCATATTATTTCTATTGACAACTCTTTCTTATACGTGGAACAAGACATTGAAATAAAACCTTCTGCCAAGTTGTCTGACAAGAAAGGTTGCAATGGAATTTTCTATGTCGGATACCAATATGCTCCAGAAGTTTTCATGGGATATAAGATATATTCTAACTCTGATTTAGTTCAAACAGTAACATGGGCAAACTATGAATGGTTCGCTTTGAGAAACTCAGTACAACCACAAGCTAGAGAACAAACAGACCAGTATGCAACTATTGAGAAAATAAGAAGACTTGACCCTAACGTTCCAGGAGTTTATGTTGACCTTTCTGGACAAACTGCAGCAGCAGTAACCAAAGTAAAATTGAAACTTAGAGTTCCTTTGTCATCTTTCCTCATCTTCAGGTTTTTAAGATACTTGCCAAACTGGGCAGGAAAAATTTCTATCGAACTTACTCCAAGCAAAAATAACTTAGTCATTGCACCAACGCAAGACCCATTCAGCATTGCTGTAGCTGGAACTGGTGGAGCCAAGTTCTGTGACTTTTGCAAAGGTGAGGTTGACTTAGACTTTGGTTTCTCAAACCTCAACACTGAAGTAAACTACTACTTCAATGCTGCTGGAACTGCTTGGGACCCAGTTAAGTTCACATGCGAAAAATTTGAATGCAAGAGAATAGAAAGCAGACTTGCAGTCTATATGTTGGACCCAGATATTTCAAATGCTTTAGCTGCCAAATATATTGCAGTTCCACTTATGTTCCCTATACACCAAATATCTGTCAAAGACTTTGCAGGTGAAGTTGGAAACCAAAGTGCTGACCCAGGTGCAAGAACAGATATTGCTTTAACAACTGCAATGAAACATGCAGATACTATGTTTGTACTGTTCAGACGAACTATAAATGACTATTCTTGTTTCTACAACCCTGGTATTAAATATCATATAAACATAGATGGCAAATATTATCCAAGAGAAGAATATTCTACAGTTGAGGATATGAGGTCATACAACTTGACATTAGATGCTATGAACTTTAACAACAACTTCACAACAACCATTAACCCTGAAATGCAAAGTTCTATTATGCCATATGTGAAAGTATGGACTCATACAGGAGGTCAAAACACTCAATATACAAATGGAGACCGTTCAAACTTTTGGCTTGGCATTCCATTTGCTGACTCAGAAGACTTTATGGGTGGTATTTCAACTGTTGGTACAGTTCAAATACAATATACTGGTGACAGAGACGGTCCAAATGAATTGAAAGCAAAGAAGTTTACAAAACCAATAGCACTTTTCACAGAAGATGCTCTTTTGAAGATTCGTTCGATGAAACCTGCTGGAGCTCCTCAGATTGGCATAACGACAGCTTCCATCGAGCAGATTTTGGCAGCAGGTCAGTAAGTTGTTCTTGAACTGACTTCTCTCCGTCAAATATTGACAGTACGCCAGTTTTGATATAATATTGTATTATAAACTTACCTTTAGAAATATCGGTCAGTTTTGTTGTTATATTTTTGTCTGCTTCAAGAACTTTCACCATCTCGGTTATACCAACTTTCTTTGCTTTATGAAAATATTTTGGTTCAGCAAAGACTGCTATTCTATAACATTTTCCATTGTTTGTGTAAAGAACTACTCTGTCAATGAACTTGTATTGTTTGTGTGTGTAAACTTTGTTCTGCTTCAATTCGAAGAGATACTCAAATGCGTCCATATTTTTATTCTAAGTAAAATGTCATTTCCGAAAAATAGAAGCGTAAGTGTTTCAAAAGGTTTAATGGCGGTGGCAGATGTGAAGTTAAATTCACCAACTCAAACAAACAGTCAAAGTGTTGTTGTCAATGTCAAAGACAGAGATGTTGAAGTGGGGAAACCATACGAAGACGAAGATGGTATAACAATAGTTCCTGTAAAAGAACAACCAACATACCCTGAAGTTAGCAGAGACTTAAGTTCTGTTGCAGATATTCGAAACGACTACCAACAACTTAAAGACAAACTTAAAACTCAGGAGAAGATTTGTCAAGCTTTAGGTCTAATGTTAAACTTGGTTGAGCACAACCCTGTAAAAGTGAACTCATATGTCATTGCACCTCATGAAGTTTTGAAAGAACTATTGAAACTTTTGACAGAGGCAGACGATATAAACATCAAAGAAATAGAACCCGACATTGCTTGCTGTGGTGTTTCATATAATGTCATTGACAAGATATACGTTATGAAAGGAGGTGAAACGTTGAACTTAAAATATAGTTTCCCAGACGTCATAAAAATATTTGACGACCACAACATTTCATTAAAATTTGTTTGCTAAGTAAATGTCAAAACTTCTTGAAAGATGTTTGAAGAAAAACAATATAGACTTTATTTCATGTAAAGGACTTTACACACTTTTGAACGATATGAAAGACCCTGTTTTGTTTGTTCGTGTAGACAAAGGAAAGTTCTATGTCTTTACAAAATATTTGAACTTCTTAGACAGAGAACTTCAAGAAACGCCATGTGAAAGTTTAGATGAAGTTCTTCTCCACTTTCAGAAAAACTTTTAAATATATGTAAATGGCAGAAGACATAGTGGTTTATACTATTACGACTAAAACCCTGAGTCATATAATTCTATAACAACAAACTTACAAAGTCCTCAAGGACGATATTGTAAACTGACCTTAAACACGATGACGACTAAAGCCTGTTTTGCTCTTTTGACACCAGAAGACTTTGTTGTTGTGAATGGTAAAAAATACTCCTTTGAAGATACTTACTCAGATATACCACCAACAGGTTTTGTTGACTTATTTAATACTTTAAGGACGGATGTAACATGTGCTGCAACTAGAGCAGGTTTCATTATGTTTGGATGTCCGACTGAGTTTAGTATAAACGATATGAGCTATAATACAAAACTTATATCTGGTTTTTACTACCAACAGTTTCCTATAACAGGAAAAGGTGTCATACAAGGAATGTCTGTTCCATTGACTTTAAGTACACCTATTTTATATATTGTTTCAAACTTAGGTTCAAAGTGCTATTCGAATGTCGACAGAAACTACTATGACCAAAAGATACTCATGCGTATAAACAACACTTTCTCTGCTGGTTTGCCTATTGTTCATTCGAATGCAGAGTTTTCAGCTTTAGTGAACTCAAACACTTTAGCAAACATAAACTTAACCTTAGTTGACGCAAACTTTGTTCCTGTAAAACTTTTATGTCCTATGTATTTGTCAATGACGGCAGAAAGTTTCGAATTGGAAGATGCAACTGGTGAAAGTATTGTACTACAAGAACAACTTCAACAACAAATAGCTCAAGAACAACAAATGCAACAAATGGAACAAATGCAACAACAAAGTCAAGAATAAAAAAATATTTTTTTTTATTTTTATAAAAATGTACAGAATAGACGTTTCAGATTTTTATGACTTCCAAGCCTTCAGAAATATGTGTCCATTTCGAGACTATAACAAAGCAGTCGAGAATTTGAAACGTTTAGTCATTTATGTCGACTCTGCCCAGAATGTTATGTCATGAAAGAATGGGATGTAGTCTTTAACAAACCAAGAGCGACAATAGTTTCAGAACAAGAATGTAAACAGAAACTTAAGAAAATAAAAGTCGTACAAGTTGGCATGAAGATGTTAGATGCTTGGGATATCTTATTGTCAAAGTTAGAAGATTTTTCAGTTCGTGGTATAAAGTTTTATACACCTTCTCCAAACTTCTATTCTATCTTCACTGGATATAAATACGAACAAGTAGAATGGAAAGAAAATGTTATAGAAGCTTGGTTAGACCATGTCAAAGAAATTATATGCAATGGAAACGAAAGAGTATATGAGTATATCTTATGTTGGTTTGCAAACATCTTACAACATCCAAGTGCTAAAAATGAAACTGCTCTCATCATAATTGGAAAACAAGGAACTGGTAAGAACACTTTCTTTACAGATATCTTATGCAAACTGTTAGAGGGCTATTCGAACCCTAATATGACAAACTTAGAAAACATCTGCGGTAAGTTTAACTCCTCAATAGAGAATATGAAACTTATAGTATGTAACGAACTTCAAAGTATAGATACAACAAAGGTTTTAAACTCAGATGCTTTGAAGAGTCTTATAACAGACAAAGTTGGAGTTGTTGAAAGAAAGTATAGAGACCAAAGAGTTTGTGAAAATGTTGCAAACTTCGTCATGGTTTCAAACAACGCCGTTCCGATGAAGTTAGAAAGTTCTGACAGAAGATATGTAGTTGTCAGAACGTCAGAAGCTCATATGCAAGATACAGAATATTTTGACGACTTAGCAGAAACTTTGACACCTAACTTTTACAACCACTTGTTCTCATATTTCATGACATTAGATATTTCTAAGTTCAATCCAAGACAAATTCCACATACCGAAGAGAGACAAACATTGTTAGAAGCAAACAAGAGTGTATATGAACTGTTCATAGATGAAACTGACTTTGAGTGTTTAGATGAAAGGTCATTGTACGATTCGTATAAACAGTATTGTCAAGAGTATGGTTATATGACAGCGTCTAAACGAACATTCTTGGCAAATGTCAAAAGTCTTTTAGACGTACAGAATGGTATATATACAAAGAAAAATTTTTCTGAGTAAATTTTAAAAAAAAATATTTTTTTATCCGATAGAAAAGATGACGAAATTCATCTCAGTCAACAAGTACATGTCAGGACTTAAAGAAGAAATAGACCCATTCACATATTTGAATGTTTACTTCTACCATTTTGAAAAGTCTACATTTGACAAAGTTTGGAAACATCGAACCAGTTAAGTTTGCTATTGTGACTAAAAATGGTGCGAAATTTGAAGACTTAGACATAGAAGGTTGTTAACAGTCAAAGAAAGTTTTGACAGAAGGTTTTCAAACCTTAAAGAAGGCAAAGCATACAAACTTGTTATACCTTATGAACCAAAGAAAGCAGACGACTATGAATATTATGAGTCTAAGATAGTTGAAGTTCAAGGTAAATTGGGTAAAAAGATTTTAGAGTCTAAGCCGGTGTTTGCTCCTAAAGAGGAAGAGAACATTGACATTGACCCAGAAATGTTCTAAAAATAAAATTTTATTTTTACATGTCATATCTCCCCTTCTCTGGAACTGGTTCTTTCTTCTCTTCTTCTACTTTCTTTTCTTTCTTTCTCTCTTCTTCTTCTCTGGTGGAGTTATGTCAAACTTCTCAGAACCATATTTTTGTAAAAGTGCTTTGTCATTTAATAGCTCTTCTATTCTGTTTTCTATTTCATTTTCAAGAACAGCGCATGTGTCTTCTTTGCATTCTAAGAAGTTTTGTTGGACTTCATCTCTCCAAGAGGCGTCATCTCTGTCAACAAGTCTGTCATTGACAAATTTTAAGACTTCTCTGCTTAAGGTTTTATGGTTCTTGTCATATTCCCAGAAACAGAACTTTAGAACAAATTCACCTTTCTTGTTTACACTATGTAAGATTTTATGGTCGACAGATGTTTTGCTGTCGAAAAGCTTGTCTCGAATATAGATAGCGAAATCGCTAGACATTTCCTAAAAGATAAAAATTTTAATTTTTCTAAAATATGTTAGAAAAAAAGTTTGCTGACATTGACAAAAAATTTGAGAATGTTTTAAATAAGAACAAGAGGAAGTTGGAAAATGCTCAGATAAAAACCCATACATGACAAGTTTTATTTGCTCAGAATGGTATAACAGGTCTAATTGCACCGCCTGGGTCGGGTAAGACTTTCACTTATCTTAAAATGGCTGCACAACAACAAGAACTAGATGAGAAGAACCCATTCTATGAGTTAGTAGTCATTTGTAGTACTTCTGGTCAATTTGACCAAACCGTCAATTCGTTCAAAGATATTATAAAAAAGTCTAAGTTAGTATGTATAAAAGACTCTGAGTTGTTGGATTGGATAAAGAAGTACCAAAGAAGAGTTTTGAAGTACAATGCTATAAATGAGTATATAAACTCGAAGTTTAAAGACCCAAATGAGGAAATGCAGAGAATATTAGAGAAGAAACACTTCAGAAACAAACAGAAAGAGATAGAATACATTTCGAAGAAATTGCAATCTTACGATTGGAAGACTTACCCTCATAGATGTCTTCTTATCTTAGATGACTTTGCTTCTCATCCTTTGTTAAAGAACAGAGAACAAGACATGTGTCGAATTCTCAAGAAGCTCAGACACTTTAACATTTCAGTTGTCATTTGTGTACAGACAGCAAAGAGTTTAAGTAAGGATGTAAAGAGAATACTTACTGATATCATACTTTTCCCCGGATTGTCCGAAGACGATTTCATGGAACTTATGAAAGAGTCCATGGCAGGTAAGTTTGACAGACATGAACTATGGGAGAAGTACAAAGTCATACAAGACCCTCATACT